CTTTGAAATTAATTATAGAATCAGTTTGACAAGATTCTTCAAAATAGTATTTCTCATATTCACTTGGAATTACATTGAATTTATGTATTGATTTGGAGGAAATTCATATCATTAGAGTATTAAATTGTCCCATCCATGGCTATGGCGTGGTTCTCCATTTCTTTAAGGTTTATGTCTCCAGTAGTTTAAAAATTTTCTGCATAAAAGTCTTATTGCTTTATTTTTGTTGATATTATAGATGACATCCTATTTTTTATTATATTTTTACTTAGTTATTGCTAGAGATGGGGAGCACTTGATTTTTTTATGTTGATAGTGTACCTTTCTTACAAGGTTTAATTTTTGGCCTGTGAATTTTCTTGGACTTTTGATGTATGGGATGATATTAGTGGAAATATTACAAGGTTTGCTTTCTTTCTTCCATGACTTTTTCCTCCAATTTTATTTCCTTGACTTACTATGTTGGTCAAGACCTCCAATACTATGTTGAAAACTTTTGTTACTAGTGGATCATCTTGTCCCTTGAAAGGAATGCTTTGAATTTTCTTTATTCCAGATAATGTTTTCCCTAAGGATTTTGATAGATGACCTTTATCAGGTAAATAAGTTGTGTTCGATTCCTAGTTTTCTAACAATTGACCCTAAAAGGCACTGAACTTTATTATTTTTTCTGCATCTTTTGGGATGATAATGTGGTTTATCTCACTTAAACTGCAGTATGGTGAAATTATAATAATGTGTTTTCTTTTTTATATTATTTTTATTGAGCTATAGTTAATTTACAATGTTGTGTTAGTTTCAAGTGTACAGCAGAGTGTTTCAGTTATACATATATATGTATACAAATATATTCTTTTTCAGATTCTTTTCCATTTTAGGTTATTACAAGATAATGAGTAGAGTTCCCTGTGCTATACAGTAGGTCCTTGTTGTTTACCTGTTTTATATATAGTAGTGGGTATATGTTAATTTCAAACTCCTAATTTATCACCCCTCCCCGGCCCCCCACCTCCGCTATCCCTTTGGTAACCGTAAGTTTGTTTTCTGTGTCTGTGAGTCTATTTCTGTTTTATAAATAAATTCGTTTTGTACCATTTTTTTAAGGTGCCACAAGTAAGTGCTATCATATGATATTTGCCTTTCTCTGACATTTCACTTAATATGATAATCTGTAGGTCCATCCATGTTGTTGCAAATGGAATTATTTCATTCTTTGTTATTTTCTGATGTTGAAGTATTCTTAATTCTTGCAAAAACCCATAATGGATCACAATTTAGTTTTTATGTAACAGACCAGTAAAAGCAATTAGCTATTTTTTTTAATGATTTTGGTATGTGTGATTATAAATATAATTTAGGTTAAAAGTTTGTTTTCTGCTGCTGCCCTTATCTGGTTTTGTTATTTCAGAAGCCATAGCATCATTTTCTAAAACAAGTTTTATTAGACACTGTCTTTCTATAGAACTTGGGTAGAATTACTTGTAAAACATCTAAGTCTACTTGGCACATTTTGGGGTTGGGGGTGGAATGAGTAATGTTTTTGAAAACTTTCAATTTTTAAAACAGTCTAATCTATCCAATTTCCGTATTTATTACACCAAATTTTGCAAATTATATTTTTTCCAGAAATTTCTCTTATCTCGGTTTTCCAGTTTTTTAACATATAGATCTTTATAACATTCTTGTATGACTTTTAAACTCCATTATATCTTATCCTCTCTTGTTTTATTTTTTAATAAAACAAAATAGTTTTCCATTTTTTGTTATTTGGTTTTACAAGACCACCTTGTTCGTCTTGAAAAAAAAAACAAAAAAACCCAGATTTTCGTATTGTTGATTATCTCCGTTATTTACTGTCCATGTCACTGATCGCTGCCTTGGGCCTTTTGTTACGGGACTGGGACTGGGAGTCAGGGGCCTGCAGCAGTCGGGAGAAAGGAGGGGTTGGAAGACTTGCCCTTATTTCTGTTCTGATTTCCCAACCCAGGGTTGTCTGTCCTGTCATCTGACAGCAAGTGGAGTAAGGACTTGAGTAGTAAGAAGGAGGATGAGACTTAGATGGAGAATAGTATTCCGGGGAGGAGCATAGTGCAGAAAGTCAGAAAACCTCACACCAGGGACTTCTCTGGTGGTCCAGTGGTTAAAACTTCACCTTCCATTGCCGGGGTTGTGGGTTCGATCCCTGGTCAGGGAGCTAAGATCCCACACACCTTGCAGCCAAAAAACCGAAACATAAAACAGAAGCAATATTGTAACAGATTCAATAAAAACTTTTTAAAAAAATGGTCCACATCAAAGAAATCTTAAAAAAAAAAAAAGAAAGAAAGAAAACCTCACACCTTAACTGTGGACTGAAAGAAAGTTGTTGTAATGACTTGAGGACAATAAATGGCAATGGATACACTTAGTCCAGGGGCTGTCTTTGCTTTCCTCCTAAGTCATATACCACCAGAAAGGCAATATTCGAAGTTTTCACAAGAGTATAATAATGCTAGGTTGAACAGACAATTGAATATCTGTCATTAATACACCAATGTATTCTTATCAGTAAATGACTCATTCTAGCAAATCCTGGGGATGATTATGGTTATTAGGGCCTGTGCCTTATAGGATGTTAAGTCTAGATTAATCTGAATGATGAAAAATAACTATTTCTAGTAAGAATTTTAAAAAATTACCTTTAACTTGTTCCAAAAGTAAGTGTTTTTGTGCTAACAATAATAGAACTGTCTTTATTCTGAAAAGCTAATTACTGTAATTCCTCTTGTGCCTGTTCAGTGATCCTGGACTGATTCTGAAATGCCAGTGGAACTGCCACTGACAGCTATTTACCTCTGTTAATTGTGTTTGCTGTTAATCTATCACCGAGGCTGAGAATATGGCTTAAATGGTCTCTATAGTACTGTGGAAGCCTTCTGATACCCAAGGGTTCGAAAGTATTTAAGCAATTTTCAGTCCTGTCAAACCCAGAGGAATAAGTTCATACTTAGCAGGTTCTGCATTTTTATCTGTCATTAGGCCTAGTCAAGACTGGGGGAAAAGAGAAGAAAATGGTATTTCCTCCATGGATGAAGGGATACAGTATGGTCAGATAAACATTGCCCTGAGAAGTGCTTGTTGAAGGCAAGGGAAATATTTTGGAAAAGTTCGGGAGATGAGGTAGTGGCTCAAGTCCGTAGATTAACTTAAATGAGTCATTTAAGTGCAGCCAGAAAGACCTTAAGCTGAGTAACAGAGGATCGGGTAATAGGCCGGAAAGAATTTTAGTAAATTCTCGCCTCATTCTCCTCTGCCTCCTTGTTCTACTAATTGAATAAAATTGTATGTAAAATTCACAACTGAGTGCTTTTTAACATCAAAGGTGTTCAATAATGAAGTATGTTCTTTACTTTTCAGTTTTTATTCTACTTTCTTTCCTCCTTTCTGTCCCTTTGTGTTCCTTTTCTCTTTGCATTCATACATAATCAGGTTTCTGTTGTTCAGATTAATGCAAGTGCAAAAGTAGTTCAAAGTATCAGATAAACACAACTATCTGGGAACCAAATTAGTGGAAATTGACTTCACAAATCTCAGTTAACAAAGTTGTTTCCCGTAGGTTTTTCTTTTTAAGTCAATCTTTTAGATTTTGAGCTAGAGTTAGTATTAACTTCTTTTAAAAGTTTGTTTACTTCATTAAAAATTGATACTCAAAATGTATTATAATAAAGCCTTACTGAGCAACTGTTAGCAGTATCTACTAAAGTTAAAAAAAAAACTTACGGCATAGCAATTGTACTCATCTTAAGTACCACGAGAGGGGATGTATCCACCAAGAGACAGACACAAGAAAGTTTATATCATTAATAGCCCCAAACTGGAAACAGCCAGATGTTTACCAGCAGAAGAGTAGGTAAATACACTTTTCTATTACTCAAAAATAATGATGAGCAAAAGATGTCAGACACAAAAGAGTACATATTGTATGATTCATCTTATATGAAGTTCAAGTTCAAACAAATTGAATCTATGGTATAGAAGTCAGAATAGTGGTTACTGATCGGTTGGTGAGAGGAATGTAAATAGATTGGGCAGGGACACATGGAAACCTTCTGGTTGCTATAAACTGCCTAAAGCCTGATCTGGATGGAGATTTACATATGTGTATAAAAATGTCCATCAAACTGCATAAGACAATTTGGGCACTATCTGTATGCATAACGGAACATATTGTTTGATTTTAGTTCATCCCTAAAAGGATAAGTGATACTAAAATATATATTAAAATTTTTTTTTTTTTTTTTTTACTAAGGCAGAGAAATTATGCTACTTTGTTGCAGAACTTTAACGTTGGGTTGACTTTTCATTTTGTGGCTACTGTAGTGAACTGAGCTCTTACTGTGTTTGATTTTGATCCTCAAAGCTGCTTTACTCTAAAGAATGTTTTCAGTTGAGGATTATTGTTTTGCATTTCATTGATCTTACACAGATTTGAAGTAGTTTGAGGAGGTTTTAGTTAAAAAGGAAAAGCTTACCTGAAGTTTGAAAAATTTTCTAAGGATGGGTTGCATATTTAAATATAATATATTTAATATATAATATATAACTATATATTATAATTATATATAAATATATTTATATAGTAAGTGTAGTATGGAAGCTGTCTTAAACCATGTATTTTATCTTTCTTATATTTTTATTCTATGTACATTGGTTATTCAATGGGAGTAGACAACACAAAGAGCTTTTGTATTAAACTAATGATTAATTTAAGGCTGAAAATACGTAAAAGCAAAAAATGGCTATCAATGAGGATTTGTGATCAAGCCATCAAAATTTAGATATTTCGGTTTATGTGTATTAGTGATTTATCCAAGGTTTCCCACTTTACTCATGGCTAACAGCTTTCAGTAAGTATTTTTCAAAGGCCTTTTGAATATAGGCAGTGGGCTTGGGGTTTCTAGGTTTCCTGAGTAACTCTTAAGCACTAACCTCTCGCTTCCTTTTGCCTCTTGTCTTTATAGGCTGCCCTGCAAGTCGGGGGCCACGGAGAAAGGCTGCACCAGTGTCGGGAGGTCATGCTGCTAACTTACAAATCCATCCCCATGCAAGTGGATGGAGAGCCCTGTAGGTTGGCCCCGGCTATGATTCGGATCTCGTTGAGGAATCAGGCCAACATGGTACAGAAGAGCAAGAGAAGGACGTCCATGCCTTTACTCAATGAGTGAGTCTGCCCTTGCCCACCTTTGTGAACATGGAGACCGTGGAGAGGAGGGCACTGAGCATGTGCATGATCAGGGGCCTCCCTGTGCTGGGAAAGGAGACGAGTCCAGGAAACTCAGCAGCTCCTTGGTCTCTTGCACATATTTCTTCTTCATGTTTACTATACGGTGACCACACGCTTCTTTCAGAAGTTATTGCTGTATGATGTGTTAGAGTGATGATGCTTTTTCACTGACCACTTGAGTATATACTTACTGGGACCAGCAGAAAATCACTGAGTGATTCAGGGTCGTAAAACGTGTCCTGTTGAACGTGTTCTGTTTTGTTTAAGAAGGCGCGCTGTTGGCCTCCTCTTCTCCCCGGTCGCTTGGAGACTGTTGGTTTCTCCAGGTGCAGGAGGTCGGCAGAGCTGGCTTTGGCTCCCCTCTCTCCACATTGTATCCCCTTCTGCCCTTTCCCAATGCTCCCATTTTGGGGTCCTGTGTGCTCTGATGCCTCAACTCAATTTTGCCATCCTGGGTGGCATCCTATTGTCTAGGTGAAACTTGACCCACGACTCAATGCCTAAACAAAATGTATCCCTCCTGGACCCTTTCCTTTCTTGGGTGTTTTGATAAACTGATTTGGACAAGGTGATAAATGACTAGATATTTTGAGTGCATTTTATAGAGTCCCTTAATCTAATTTCGATTGAAATGTCTTTTTGGGGGTTGGAGAAAGGGATGGAGAAAGATGGGGATTTGGGGTATCTTTTAGAGTATCTTTCATATATCATGCACCTATGGCTGACCTGACTCAAGGTAAGGACGTTTTAGGGTTCAGCCTTGGGCCATTCTTCTGTCACAGCGAGGGTCCCTCCAAGGTGCTCCTCTATTTGTGGCCTGTGATGCATGGTTACCTATTTGTACTGAATGGCTGGCTTCCTCTAGTGCCTGTGAAGGAAGGGCATGCTTCGCCATGTATTTATTGAGTCAATGTGACAAGTACAGAAGTGCCTAGAATGAACCGATGACACAGGTGTCATCGCTCCCTGCCAAAGCTTCACCTGTCTTTCTGAGATGGCAGACGTTGAAGAACAGCGTTCGACAGGGCTCGTGACGTGTTTCAGTTTTTAGTGTCTGCTTCTAAGCTTGAAGCTGGGGTGAGGGATCTTCGCTCTTCTGCATCCTCCTTTTCCAGAGTCAATCTGGGCTCTCCCCGGCACTTTTCCTGGATCGTTATCCAGAGGGCTTGTTTAGTTGCCTTTTTCGTTTTGTTTACATTTTGCAGCTAGTGAAACTCTTAGCTCGTTTCTGCGGCTTTCTCTGTCCTCTGCCTTTACCACTATTAGGTTGAACATACACTTTGTGCGTTTCAGGCCGTGTGTCAGCAATAGTATATGGTTGACCATATTCTCTCTTGAAACATTAGAGTTAAGCCATGAACTATTGGTTTAAGGGAAAGTTCTGAGCTACTAAGTGAAAAGCCCTCTCTGAGATAGTCCACGTTGTTTTGGACCACTTGTAGATCGTTTGTTAACAGAGCTAAAAATTCTTAATATCTACAGGCAAACAGCTCCCATTTTCATGCCTGGTGCTTCTATGCTTAATAACCTTATGAGACATGAAACTGTTTTCGGGTGTTTAGTTTCAAACAGTTTTTGCCCTTGAGAAAGAATTTGTATTTGCTCAGAAACTGTATTAAGAATTTACTTGGGCTTTCTTCTCGTATAAAAACAAATGGAAAGAGTTGTTTTCTTTTTGTACACATGGCACGTATGATAGATGATGTGACTTCATAGATTTAGCCGGGAGGGTGTTCGAGAAGCAGCTTCGGGCTTCCCTGGTGGCGCAGTGGTTGAGAGTCCGCCTGCCGATGCAGGGGACACGGGTTCGTGCCCCGGTCCGGGAAGATCCCACATGCCGCGGAGCGGCTGGGCCCGTGAGCCATGGCTGCTGAGCCTGCGCGTCCGGAGCTCGTGCTTCACGACGGAAGAGGCCACAACAGTGAGAGGCCCATGTATGGCAAAAAAAAAAAGGCAGCAGCCTCAACTCAAAAATGCTGTTATTTCCCACCAGGGGGCAGTGGTGTCTCCATCCAAGCAGCCTCAGGCCGTAGGAAAGACTTGTGTGAAATGCCAGTAATAATATTCTGTCCATTTCTTAAAAGGACACATATAAACCTTAAAGATTAGCCAAGATCTTTATTACAATTTATTATTAAAATTATCATTCAACACATTTTTAGAAAATCTCTCACCACTATTCTTTTTCACCCTCTGTAATTAGATTGCTTCTTTCTATTTCAGTAGAAATCTTTGTTTGGAAATCTAACTTCTTCCACTGGATTTCCAAGTGGAGTTTCCAGTTTAAGGGCAACCGGGCCACTAATATCTTCTTAAAAGTTTTCTTCCACCTTCTGAGCCCTCCAAGCTTTTCTCTGTTTAGGCCACAGTGTGCAAAGTTCACTATTGCAGCCAAGGCAGAAAGAGATTATTGAAAGATAATTCTTTCTTCCTTCTTTCCTTCCTTTATTTTTTCCATCCTTCTTTCCCTTTTTTTCCTTTCTCCCTTTCTTACTTTTTACTGTTTCTTCATCATTTGAATGCCTTCTTTTTGAAGAAAGAGAGCTGTTTTAGTTTAAAAACTTGTGTGCATCTGTGTTAGGGGGAAGGGAGTCAGAAAGGGGTAGCTTTTCAATTCATCTTAAGGACTTATCCTCCTTTCACATAGCATGTTAACATGAATATTTGAGATTTTAGGGCTGTGGCCCCCCTTTCTGCTGAAATGCTGGTGTTCCTCATAGATTTGCCCCTTCTCTGGGAAATCACATCACAAGTTCCCTCTGTGACGGATAAGCTAGTGTGTCTCACATCTGTGTCTTCAGCCCAGACTTTCTTCTAAAAGCTGAAGACTCGTACCCAGATATCTTAGTTGACATCTTTATCTGCATATCTCATAGTCACCTCCACTTTTACATGTCCCCTGCGTTGTTTGAACTCTTCCTTCTGTTTATTTCCCACACCTTTAACTCTCAGACCATCTTTCCCCTCTGCTAGTAACACAGCCTTAGTTGCGGAGCCGTATTCATCACCTCTCGTCAGCATTGCTAAAATCTGCTCAGTTCATTTCCTTGTTTCCAATGTTGCTGCCCTTCACACTGTGTCTCTTCCAATAGACTGGTTAGAATGCTCTTTCTAAAAATGTAAAACCTATATTCCTTGGCTTTACCGACCTTTTTGATCATCGCCTTGGTCCTCTCCTTCCTACGCTCCAGAGCATATTGCTATTTCTGGAGCAGTACGGCCTGTCTCGTGTATCATTATATTTTTGCCCTCCTCACCTGCTTTCATCTGCTAGCCCCTGCTCAAGTTCAAACTCCATCGAAATATCACTTCCCCTAAGAATCCTTTTCTATCTGCTTCTAGCCATTAAATACAGCACTCAGTGCTCCTATAGTATTCTCGTTACTTCTCTCACACCATTTATCAAAACCAGTGTAATTATTGGTTTGCTTGTCTCCCCTGCTCTGTGGGGAGACCCCAGGGTTTTCCTCATAGGGTCACCAGTGCCTGGTAGTGTGTCTGAGACTTATGGTTACATGTTGAACAACGGACTCGCACATGGATCGGTTCTATAAAGTCCTATCTGTTACGTTTCTCAGAAATTGTTTCTAAAATAACATAAATCTAAAACCTCGTGAATATAAAAATAATAACAGAAAATGTCTTGGTCACATTTTATGGCAGAAGTGGAAGATATATACTTAAGAATTTCAAGATCTGGTGCACATGGATGGCTGGAAGAATTCCCATGAGAAACAGCTAAATAGGAAGCTTTCATGATGCCAGTGGATCTTCATGTATGCAAAAAGGGAAAAAAATTTTTCTAAAAAAATGTCTTGGCTTATGATCCTATTTGCTGTTACTGTATATAAACTGAAAGGCTAGGCCCGTTATGTTCACTCTCCCCTCCCCTCTCCACCCCATTGGTACAGGAGCGTATGTCATTTGTGGCTTATGAATCTACTTGAAATATGACCCCAATAAATTTCTTCCCCCCTAAAAGTAATAGAGCAGATTTGTTTAGGTTCATATTCATGTACTAGTAACATGATAGCCAGATAAATTTGATTATGTTCTCTATTTGAAAGTCACTTTTGAGGGAGATCAGAAATTCTACATTACTCAGGTGCATAGGAAGATCTCAGCCTGAGTTCACTAGCAATTAAGACAACATTGTTAAGGGTGATTGTATTATCCAGGGGCAAGATTTCTGGTTGGGCAAACCTTGGGCAACCGACTTCCAGCATCCTGGGCTGCTGAGAAGTATCATTGGTTATAACTGATAGCCCGATCAGGATGACAAGGAGTTAATTCATGGGTGGCTCTATATGAGAATTTATGTACCCCGTGGAAAAGAGGGATGGGGGGGTACGTCTACTGCAGTTATAGTGAAACTGTTCAAATGGTCGAAGAGAGTGAAGAGAATAATGATGTAACAGTGACAGGAAATTTGGGCTTTAGTTTCTTCAGTTCCACATTTTCTCTTTTCTGGTAGCCATCGAAGACCCTCTCCTTTACAAAAGAAGGGAGAGCAGAGAGAAGTCTATGGTTTCACTCCTCTACCAAGAATATGAGTGGAATTACAGCATCACTGTGATAAAATTAGCCTTTCTTGGTATTACCTTGAGATTTCTTAGAAAGCCTTCTCTGTTTAACTGAAGGAAGTTAAAGTTTTTGTCGAGTCGCTCTTTTGAAGACGGTTGTCCTTTGACATGAATATTCCAACAAAGCCCTGGAATCATGAGGACTATGTTAAAGGATTCAGTTTACCTTGATTCTGCTCTGAGTTGACTGTGCCAGCCTACCACCCGTGTGTGTGTGTGTGTGTGTGTGTGTGTGTGTGTGTGTGTGTGTGCGTGCGCGCGCGTGTGCGCGTGTGCGTGCGTGCGTGCGCGCGCGTGCACAGATGGATGCCCAGTGAGACCTAGAGCCGGAGAGGACCGCGATAACCCTCTGCCCCGCAGCCCCGTGCAGCTTCCGCGCTCCTCCAGCATCTGCCGGTGCCCCGCCTCGTGCTCCAGTCTGTGGCTTGCCTGAGAGCCGGCCCTGCCATGTGTCCTGTTGGCTTCGTCGCTATCACTGGCTTTTTGATTATTTCCGTGGCTGGCTTGATTTTATTTTTCTTTTCATTTACTGTTTGGTGATGCGCTCATTTAATTTCTGTTTAAATTTTGTGTGTCTCTCTTTCTCTCCTGGCTTGTTCCCCTGTCTGTCCACGCTGTTTTGCTGACTGTCTTCGCTGCTCATTCCCTGCTGCCTCTAGTGTCCATCAGGTGCAAGCTGCGGACCTGCGGAGAGTGTCTGCCCCCCCAGGCTCCTTCACCATGTGAGTACAAAGCCGTCCCGTTTTTACATTGTGTCTCTCACCTTCATCTCCTCCTCAGGGACAGACTACCTGCACCCTCTCCCTTCACAGGTCCGCTTCTCAGGCAGAGAAGCACCTCACTGTAATTGTCTGCTTTAGCCCTTCTTTGATTTGAGATGCAGCTGTGAAATTCTTTGTGTTCTATCCGTCTCAGTCCTCTGAGTTCACAGTTTAATTTTTTGATTAGGTACTTTAGGGTCCAGAGTTTCATGGGGTTGTATAAAATTCCATACTAAGCATTGGTTTCTGTGGAAAGTCTGTAAACCCATAGACCATTCCATTATCTGTGGCTCAGGGATGACCTTGAAGAAGCTCCCGCTGCACTTGATTCTGTGGACGGACCCCGGAAATTATGCGTGGAGCTTTGATTGTAGGTACGTGCATCTGTGGATTTTTCTGGGTTGAGGAATCCATAGTTGTAATAAAAGATCAATAACCCAAAGTTGTTAATGAGTTAGCAAAGTGCAGTTTGTACATAGTAGTTTGTACTTAACAAACTCTGTGCTTTTATATTTTTCTGGTGAAAAACAGAAGGAAAATGTTTTTTAGCGCTTCACTTCAGGACTTTTTTTATGCTGTTGCCTCTGTCTTGCCCTTCTTTTCTCCGTCTTACATATACTTTTGTTATGTTTCAGGTACTGTTACAGGTGCTTTACACAGGTTAACTAACTTACTCCCCCAACCACCTTATTGCCATACGTGGTATTATTATCTCCATGTTATACATGAGGAATCTGATGCACAGAGAAGTTGAGTAATTTGACGAAGGTCACACAGCTAATAAGTGGTAGACTGGAATTCATACTCCCGCAGCCTGGTTTCAAAATTCATGCTCACAACAATTTATAATCTGCTGCTTTTCATCTATCAGTGTCCTATGTATTTCTCAGGGCCCAGCTGAATAACTGCCTTTTCTAAGAATTGTACCTTGATTCTTGCTGGCAGAACTAGTTACATCCTCATTGGAGTTTATACTATTATTGTACTTATTATAGTTCTCAAGGTATAATCGACCGGTACTAATTATATTAGCTGTATATCTGTGTGTATCCCACACTACACTTAGGCCACTTGAAATCATTTGCAGTATCTTCTTATGACCCTTTGTGTTCCCAGCCTTGATCACAGACCTTAACACAAAGTATTCTGAAACTAAACAGAATTGTTGGTTGGTTGGTAGAATGAATGAATGAAAGAATGCATGTCTGAATAGAACTCTGCAATATCTAACATCTAGGGATATGCAAAGTAACTCCTAAAGTTCAGTTATGTATCATTTTACTTTCAACCCTTGTCCTGTGGATACACGTTTATTTACTCATTTATGACAAAATATTTTTCCAAAAATATATTATTTTGTACTTGCTCTGTGTCAGACACTATTTTCTCCTTTGTATTTAGCGGTGAGCACAACAGCTCTATACCTTCATAGAACTTAAAATTGAGCGGTCAAAGAATCAGTAAGAAAATAACATTTAATTTCCAATTTGGAGGCTATTGCTGGGGTATATTACATATACCCCATAAGGCCTGTTCAATAAATTTGAGTCCAGAGAATGGCTCTCAGTGATCATTATTTCCAGCAGCTCTATTGATAGAGTTCAAGGAATTGAGAGTATGAACAATAGGAGTCCACGTGATAGTTGTCATATTTCTATCACCTTTTAAGTTTTCATCATATAATTTGAATGAGGTTCTTTTTTTCTTTTTCCAGGTGTGTATGCTATAATAAGGTGAACTGTCTTGTTTATTTTCATGGCATGTAACAGGCAGTCCACCTAGATGTGGCCACTTAAAACTTGAATATTTATCTAAAATATTTTATATTTGTATGTGCTATATTAATTACTGCATATTATAGATTTTATGTCTATATAACGGATGAAAGATTTATATAATAAAAATTAAATTCGAGTATTATTTTAAACATTCAATAACAGAACTCTGTCAAATAGAGCAAGGAGCACAGAGAAAACTCCAAGCACAATGAGTATTGTATTTATATATTATGACAGTGGCAACTTAGCTTAGACCCACTCTCATGCTGCTATTGCAGCAGTGTTTAAGAATCACATTAACCTTGCTCTGGTCCTCACGAAAGTCAGGACTCCAGTCAGTATCTTGAGCTAAACTTTGTCTGACTTTTTTTTTTTTTTCTTTTAACTCTTGGATCAGCCATTCTCTGCTCAAAACAACTCTTTTTTACAGATGATCTTTCCTTTGGGAGAAGCCTCTCTTTCTGCTGTTCCTAAAGTAAAGTTGCTTTTCTAAAGCAATTTAAATTATCCTTTCTCTCTAGCTTTCTAATGACTTTTTTAATTAGGGAGGGGGTCATGGTCTTGACAGCATAATGCATAAATTATTAGGAATGGCAACATACAATTAACGTCTGCGTACATGGGAAATTTCAGCTTTACACAAAGAAGAATCTTGAAACTTTCATTTTGATCATATATGACCACATATGAATGCTAAATTTTAATCAAAGGGATTTAGTGGCTTCATGAAATAGAACAAAATAAAGTAAATAGAATATTTCACCACAAATTTTATGTACTATAGCTTTTTTTTTTTGACGTCAGAGAAGAGTTATAATTCCCAGACTTGGCATATGACATAATTTGTAATCTGGGCATTCTTACTTTTTTTTCTTTTTTATTGAGATATAATTCACATATAACATTGTATCAATTTCAAGTGTAAACATAACGATTCAGTGTTTGTGTCTATTGTGAAATGATCATCATAGTAAGTTAGTTAATATCCATCACCACATGTAGTTACGATAGTTTTTTCTCGCGATGAGAGCTTTTAAGATCTCTCTTAGCAACTTTCAAATAGTCAATACCTATAGTCACCATGCTGTACATTACATCCCCAAGACTTATTTATTTTATAATGGTATTATTTTATATTTATTATTATAATAAGTATTTTCTATTTATTATTTTATAATGGTATTTATAAAGGTATTATTATATAATACCTTTTAACCCCCCTCACCCATTTCACCCTTGTCTCCTCAGTGTTGCTCAAAGAATTATTAGACCAGCATCTCAATTAATAAATTCATTATAATTAAGTGACTTCATAGTAGAATCCTCATTGAAGACTACATACATGCACTGTATCTCATAAATCATGAATATTCACATTAAATGGTCATGCTCAAAAAGCCCCAAAAGGTGTGTAACTGTAAAATGAGTCTCTGAAAAAAAAAAAAAAAAAAGAGTCTCTGGAACGCTTTCAGCTTTTACTATTGCTTTTCATTAAGTTCTATTTCCCTCCTGCTCTTGCCCTACCAAAATGAAATAATGTGAACTGTTTACATCTAATTTATTCATTTTTCATCTTTCAAAAATATTATTCAGTGTCTGCTTTAGATATCAGATACTCTGTGGGATACTGGAGATAAGAGATTAGAAAGCTAAGGTTTCTGCCTTGGAGAAATGAACACACCAGGAACAGACCCACTTGTGTTGCCTACAGTACAATTACAGCGCAATGTGACAAGCATCCAAATGGAAATTCTGGTTGTACTTCCATGTGAATAACTTTTTTTTGACTCTTTATTATATTTGTTTTTCTATTTTAGTAATTAAAGTTAATATAGGTCCAAATTGACTTTTTTGATATACAGTTCTCACTTTTAAGACATATGGATTCATATAACTAGCACCATAATCACCAAAACGGTTCTATCACCCCAAAAATCCTGTTTTGTAATCTATGGCCTTTATGGTCATACCCCCTAATCCCTGCATCTCTCATCTCAAACTCTGGCAACCACTGACTGCTACAGTTTTGCATTTTAGAGGATGCCCTATAAATGGAATCACACAACATGCAACCCTTAAAACTGGTTTCTCTGAGTGAACCTAACACCTTTGATGTTTATGAGAGTTGCTGCGTCTATCATTCCTTTTTGTTGCTGAGTAGTATTCCACTGTATGGATGTTTCTGTTTATTTACCTAATAACCCAGAAGGACATCTGGGTTATTTCCAGTTTTGGATGATTCTGAATACAGCTGCGTAAACCGTGATGAACAGGTTTTGTGTGAACATAAGTTTTCGTTTCTGTAGGTTAAACACCTAGGAGGGATTCCAGGGTCATATGGTAACTTCATAAGAAACTGACAGACTGTTTTCCAGAGTGGTCGTATCATTTTGCATTTGCACCAGCCATGTATGAGGGTTCCTGGTGTTCCACATCTCTGTCAGCACTTGGTAATGTCAGTATTTTTACATTTTAATCATTCTAATATGAGTGTCTTTTCATGTGATTATTTGCCATCTTTTATACATTCTCTGGTGAAGCATCCTCTCAAGTCTTTTGCCCTTCTCTTAAACTGGGCTGTTTGTTTTCTTCCTGTTGAGTTTTGAGTTTGTCATGTATCCCGGATCCAAGCCTTTGTTAGATATGTGCTTTGCTTAATCATTTCTTTGTTCTAGAAGGCAGTTGACTCAATTTTCAGGCCACAATTTCTGACTCATCTTCTGAGGATAGTAGCCATAGTGTGTTTTCAGTTGTGTTTTCGGAGTCTTTGCAGTGCTATTCCTATCTGTCTGGTGTGCAACCCCTCCAAGTTGCAGGACAGGATCTGAGGGGAGGGTCTTCTCTGTAGTTCAGTTCCTAAAGTCTGTGGTACTGTGTTTAGGGCCAGATTAACACATTTGCAGCCTAGAGATGAACCCAAGATCATGGACGTCTTTCTGGAGTTGTCTTCCTGAGCGCCTCCCTCTCTCTTGTCATCCTCAGTACTCTCCCATTTCCTGGGGCTTCATTTTTGGATCCTTCAGCCAGAAAGCTAAGGCTAGCTCCTGAAACCACGTTCACCTCCAGGACCAAGCAGTGATATGACTGAAAGAGAAAAAGAAGCAATGGTGGTTTGTCCCACCCTCTTGGGACCACAGCTTCTCTTATCAGAGAAGAAGATTCCCTCTCCTTATAGTTTTTTTT